CAGCCTCAACTTGTAAGATGTTGGCATGTGAGGGGAAAGCCGTGAAGGGCCTGATCCTTATTGTGGAAGTACAGCCCTGGCCCCTTCCCCATTGTTTGCCTCAAGGCACATTTGCCAAGCAAAATGCCTTTGTGTGCCATGCTCTGGCACCTGTGGCAGGGGTTGCTGACCCCTGCCCTAGTCTGTATTCGCTGGATCACACTGGGGCAAAGATATGCTGGGAAGGCAGAGAGCAGGGAGGACTCAGAGGACATGTGCTGCCTGAGCAAATTGCTGTTTACCACTCTTTTTTAAAATTATTATTATTGTTTATATCGCAGTAGCGCTCCCCTAGCCCTCATCCTGGACAGGACCCCATTGTGCAGAGCACTGCACACACAACAAAATGAGAGTCCTTACCCCCAAGGATCTGACAATCCCTTTTGTATTCCAGGGACTCCAACTGCTGGCCAGTCCAATTTTCAAACCCAAAGGTTACTCACTGTAGTGTTAGCACCACCAGCAGAGCTGGCCTTAGGGGTGAGTGACATGGGCAACCACCCAGGATGACACACACACACACACACACACACACACACACGTGTGAGCAGCCTGCGCTTACAGCAGTGCTCTCCCCACCACCCCAGCTGATCCCTGCCCCAGGCAGGAAGAGCAGTGCCCAGCTCAGCCTCCCCCCTGCCTCCAGCCATTGCCCGCCTGCCTGATCCAGTATTGCTAACCCCACTGTCAAAAACCATAAGACAACCTCTTAAAAATCAAGAGATTTGGAGTGTAAATCATGAAATGCTATTTTTGAAGTGTGTGTGCATGGCTCCCAGGGCAAAGGCAGGAGGGTGCAGAGCCCCAGTCCGCAGCAGGCAGCCTGACTCTGCCCTGCACATGAATCTGGGGGGCACACGTTCGCTATTCCCCACCCCGACCCCGGGGCCCCATTCACCTCAGCCCCTGCCCCACGCCCTCCCTCCCCATGGGGGGTCCTCAGTCTGTCCCCTCCCTGGACTTGCCAGCTTGGCACTCTCTACATGCTCCAGAAGAAAAAATCCTGAGATTTGATCTCTCTATCAGGAGACCATGAATCAGCGTTTATTTGACTTGGACATTGGGAGTCTCATGATTTTCCATGAGAGTTGGCATTACTACTGATGCACCATGCTGCTCTGCCTCCCTGCCACACTTGTCCCTGTGCTTCTGCCTGCAGCAGTGCCACTGACTTGGGGGCTGGGGCCAGGGCAGCGTGCCAAAATACAAGTTTGGCCAGGGCACCATTTTCCCCTAGCCTGGCTCTGACCACCAGTGATGACTGAAGAACACTCAGTAATTTATTTTCCACCTTCTTCTTTACGGAGGATTGTTTATTTTGTTGGGTGTCTCTCTCCTTAGACACTGTTTGGGCTCAGACCCTGCTGTTAGATCTGTGGACAGTTCCAGGTATCTGGGCTTATACCACTTGTGCTGGGCTTCAGGCAGTTTCCACACTGACCACAGGGAGCCCTGAAACTTGGTTCTCATTCAGCCACACTGTAATGCCTCAGTTGCAAACACTGCAGGGAACTTCTGAATCCAGACAAGACATGATTTCTGGAAGCAATGAGGCATGTTTAACATCACTGCTCCCTTACTAACTTCTTTTTGCACCTCCTCTTCCCTCCATCCTGGAGTCCATTTAGGCCCTAGTTCTCTGCCATCTGCATGGTTCTGTGTCAGGAACTCTTCCCTTGGAGTTGGTGTAACAAGGTCTTTAAGGCAGGAAGCAACCCCTCATTTATATTAATAAGCATTTGGCAATCAATTTCATTTTTTCTCTCTCGGGCTATGAAGAAACAGCAGACGGAGGGTTGGGATTTTGGTGGATCTTTGCAGCCAGTCTTTTTGTATTGTTATCTGTTTTAATAAGGGCAAGGAGGATTAGGTGGGTAAGCACTGAACTGGGACTAAAGAGATAAAAACTCCATTTCTTGCTCCATCCCAGACTCCTTTTGTCCTTGGGCAAATCACTTAACTCTTTGTATCCTCAGTTCCTCATGTGTCAAAGGAAACAATACCGCATTGTTTTGTATGTGCTGCACATGTATTTTTAATGTTCTTTAAGTTTTACTCTGTATTTGTACAGGACCTAGTGCAAAGAGGCTTTATATCCTTGTTTACCACCCCAGTACCAGCAGCAATAATACCAAGGTGCACAGAGAATAGGGTGGCTTTTTCAGGCAATTGAATAAATAAATAAATGTTGTTCTTCTCCACCAGGCCCTTCAATTCTATAAATTGGGGACTGAGCTAATAGACTCACAGAAAGACTTTGGGATGTGTACCACTGTACCTCTGATACAAGACCCCAGGTTTCTAACCCTGGCTCACTCTTGAACCAATGTAGGACTGGTTTATGCCATCCTTCTAGCGCAAAATAGTTTCAAAGCTGCCAGATGTTGGAAGATTAGCCTGCTGTAGGCATGTGATCCAGTGGGTAGAGCCAATATGATGTCACCCTCTTTCAGAGGGCAAGAGATTACAAGCAGTGGAGCATTTTCTAGTGGAAGCCAGTACAGGGGAGCTGATATTGTGCTGACCTAACCCTCAGGGGATCAGGGTCCTGGTTCCTGGCTCTACCACGAGCCTGACAAGTCGTTCTGGTTTTTTCAACTATAAAATGTGGGTAATGATACTGACTACCTTCAGCAACTGCAGTATTACAAAAGGCCCTTTGGAGCCCCTGGCATGCTGTTAGAACAATCCTCGCATAGATTAGGCTATGGCAGACAGACATGTCAAAGATACAGCTTGCAGAGCACATCCTGCTTCTGGAGCCCTCTCATCTGGCCTGCAGCACTGCCTTTGGGTCTTGGGTTGGTGTGCTGTATGCAGTATGTGCTGGCCTTGGGCCTGTGTAGCAAGCAGAGACTATGTGGTATGGGCTGCACATGGTGCAAAGGCTGGAGCTGGCAGAGGCAGTCGGTACACAGCACACAGGGCCAGCCTTGAGTGAGCACTGCATGTGGCATCCACCCTGGAGCAGGCCTGCTTGCTGGATCCAGGACCAACCATGGGCCTGATCCAGATCCAGCACATAGTGCCTGTGCCAAAACAGCCCTACTTACAGCATGTGCCCCAGACTGGCCCTGTGTGCTACACACAGATGGATCCCAAACCTCTGCACACTGGATGAGTTTGACACCCCCAGGATATAGCCCCCTTCGCAGATGCACTAAAGTAAAGCTTGCAGTAGGGCTAGAGCTCATATTAGGCCAAGCTGTGCTAGGCTGGCACTACAAAGCTGTCATTTTTCGGACCAAAACAACACAATAACTCCCTGCCTGCTTCTCACCCCAACAGCTGGGAAGTAGGCCTTTGGAAAGCCGCATGCTTTGGTCTGCCCCAGATTGTAGACAGCTTGAACCCTTACGTCTGACAGATGTGAAGAGTCCTATTCAAGGGAGTGTTAACTTGGATTCCCACTTGTGACACAAAAGATACCAACACAATTAACTCTCTCACAATTGAGCAAACTGAAGTAAAGATAGGAGAACATTGGGAATGCTCTGCACAACCTGCTTTTGTTCACATAAATGCCATATGGTGTTGCCTTGTGCCCGTTTCCCACTCCAAACCTCTGAACTGAAAAGGCCAGAAGGAAGAAAAGAATCAAGGATACTTAAGCCCCATCACAGAGGAGCCACCCTGAGAGAGCCTAGTGGGACACAAAACCTGCAAAGAGGGGAAGTAGTCTGAGAAGCCTCTAAGGCTGTATTTTGCCCAGTCTAGGTATCAGCCTCTTACTTAATGCCTCAAGGGACATCCACTGAAGTTCTGAGAATTTCCTTTTCAATTCCGTCTCCAAATGACTTTAACGTACACTGTATCCCTGCTCCATCCTGCTGCAGAATCTCCCACTGCAACCAACTGAGGCATAGGTGCATTTATTTCTGCTGGAGGTGAGGGGGCTAAGATGATGGCCCCTCTAACAGCATAACCAGAACAGAGCAGTCCTCATGGGGGTGGATGCAGGCTATCCATTGTGGGCTCAGGGCTCCTTGCTGCGCCGCCAGGTGAGGGGCCCCGGCTTACCTGCAGCAGTGGGGGCAGTGGCGCAGAGTTGTGCCCCCCACTGCTGCTAGGTGGCATGGCTGGCACAGGGCTTCCTGGGGGAAGGCAGCAGAGCAGAGAGCCCCAAGCATCCCACATCTGCCCCACACACAAGTCTGGAGGGCACATGCCCCTCCCATGCCCCACTCCCTGGGAGTGCGTACAGCTGCAGGGAGCTGCCCCCCGCCCCTTGGGTGAACTGCCCCGCTCCCCACCCCAGCTCTGGGCCCCA